GCTCTGGGTGGTGGACGGGGATAAGGTCCGCGAGCTGCACCTGGAGACTGTGCGATTACGCAGCCGCAAAGACTGCTCTGAGTCAAGGGGCGACTGGTTCTCCGTTATTGTTGAGTTCACGTCCTCTTCAGTGACACTGACTTCGTGTTCCACTGTTGAGGCTTCCGAGAGTGGGGAGTTGAAAGGGGACTCCGTTTCCGCCGGGCTTCCCAGCTGGTCCCCATCTTTCAGTGTAGCGACACTTTCAGTCGCTACGGGGGGTGCATGCGCAGTTATCTCTTTTCCGGATTCCTGCGCATGTGGCGCCGCTGCGCTCTTTGCGTCAGCAGGATGGCGCGGGTCGGGAGTCAGGTTAGACTGCCCCTGGTCGGAGTTGGATCGAGTTTGAGCGTGCTCTGCGCGCTCGGACTCTTCTGATCGGGTCGGGTGAGCGACAGCTGGCTGAGGGCCGGCTGCGTTTGGGCCACTTTGAATGGGTCGGCGCTGTGCGTGCTCGTCCCTGTGACCTGGAGCTCGCTTAGCGTGCTCCTGTCGGGTGTTCGTCAGAGGTGGCTCAGCGGCTCTGTCGCTTCGAATGGGTTGGCGCTGTGGGCGCTCATCCCTGCGACCTTGGTTGGGTTGATGCTCTTCCCGGTTGGGGTCGAGCCACTGCTGCGTGCGCTGGGCGCGTGCCGGCAGCTCTGGGAACTCTTGTTCCTCCGGGGGCCAGATGGGGCGGTTGAACCGCGGCCCGCGAGCATGATGCTCCTCTCGGGCGCGGGCCTGTTCGGTCCGGTGGAGTTCGGCGGAATACCGCCGGATGGGGCATCGCCTGTCCCAGGCAGGGTGTTCACCGCCACAGTGGGCACAGGTGCAGCTCGCGGCCTCACAGAGTTCTGTCGGGTGCTCGTCCGCGCACCTGCCACACAGCGGGTTACGGCGGCGGCAGTGTCGGGTGGGGTGATTTGCCCAGCAATTTTGGCACAGGGGCGGGGGCGGGACCCAGGGATCCACCTGTACCCGGGCATACCCGCACTGGATGTGGGTGGGGAGCTCTGTGCCCGCGAAGCTGACCCTGATGGTAGGGTTTGGTCCTCGCGTCGCGAGGTTCCTTGAGGGCATTCGCTGCACCCGGATGACTTTTTGGGGGGCGAGCTCTTTCAGGAGATCGGTGTTGGACATGTCCGACAGCATTTCGCTGCGGATCACGCCGTGCACACTGTTTAGGTGCACCGCCACTTGCACGTTGACATCTTGACCCAAGATGGACTGGGTCGCGAGTGCTTTTTTGGTCTGGTTCAGGTTGTGGGTCTTTAGTAGGAGGGCTCCCGACCGGATCGGTTTAGCGTCCAGAACGGGGCCGAGCAAACGGTCAACTTCGCGGGCGAGAGCGAAGGGGTTTGTCTTTTTAAAGTCCGTGGACTTGTCTTTTTTGGTTGCCAGGAGGAAGCAAGCTCCCTCCGGCGGTCTGTCGTTTAGTTCGAGGATGGCAGGGGGATCCTCCCCCTGCCGATACATGACCGGTACGGTCGAACTTGAGACTAAGTCGAAGATAGCTGATGAAAAAAAAAATATAAAAAAATTGGGCGGAGCGGGCCGGCTTGCCGGTTACCGCGGAAAACCCGACTCACCGCGAGGAGGAAAGATGAGCGATGGGGGAGGGGGGAGACTAAGAGTCTCCCGAAGAGCGGGTGATAGGAAAGATGGAAAAGTCGACCTTGCCCTGTATGACCTACCTAATTAGCTAAGCATATAGGGCTGAAGGCCAGGCAGAGGCGACCGGCACCAGTTGGTGCGCGGATAGCACGGCGAACCGTGTGCGCCCACCGCTGTAACGTGGCGAACCGCCCCCGTCACAGCAAGTGTCCCTGGAAGCTGAGAGGGGATGTGGTGCACTGAGCTGTGGCATGGCGGACCGTGCGGGAAATGTGCGGACGTTGTGACCTGAGCTCCCCGTCGATCCCGATCGACCTGTCCTGTGCAGCTGCGTGATGGCGCTCCGCCGGTGTGCGTGTCGTCGCCGGCGTGTGGCGACGCACCCGTCCCTCCCGCCCGTCGGCCGCCAGTGCCACCCCCGCGTTACGGGCCCCGACCCGTCCCAGGACCGCCACTGGAGGCCGCGGCGCCCCGGACGGTGTCAGCCGCCGGCGCCTCGGGTGGGATCAGCCGCCGGCGCGTGGGCAGTGTCCGCTTCCGCCGGGGCCCGGCGATGGCCCATTGTCGGCAGCTGGGCAGGTGTACAGGGTGTCCCATAAGTTCGTTCTCACCTTTTATTTGCATGTAAAACATAGTACACTGCGTTTTGATATGTTTATAACCCCTCAATGTGCTCCCCATTTCATAGGCAAACACGTTAATACATGCTGCGACATGCCAACCGGTATGTTTGGCAGCATAGCAGGCTTGAAGTTAGCCCAGACTGACTTGGCATGCGCCGTGAGCTCCTCAATGCTGGAACACCGCTTCGCTTCGACGAGCCTCGATTTCAATATTCCCAACACATTTTTATGAAATTTGGATCCGATGAGTTGCCTGGGATGTGATCTTGCCACACACGCCTATCACAGTCTCCTGGCACTGCTTTTATGCTTTGCTTGACCTCTGCACTGATGCACTGTCTTGCTTGAAGATGGGCCTACGACCTCACGGATGCCATTTTCTTCTAAAAAAATGTGGTCATACTTGCGGTTCGAGTTAAGCTAGAAAGCTGAAACTCCTCCTAGATCTTCTTGGAGAAGCATTCTGCGTCCCAAGACTGTTTCTGGAGCATCAATCGCAACGTGATCAGTGTCTGGACGCATATTACTCCACATTACCGTGACCCTGGCCTTTTGCATAGGAATAAAGCTGGATGACACAAAGGCCTTTTCCGTCGCCCATATGGGACCGTTTTGGGGTTTGGACGGGTGTTTTATCTCGAGCACGGACTAGGTAGTCCAGATGACCACATTGATGTTATCGGCCCTCCAGTTTTTTTAGCCTCAGGCATAACGAAACACATGTTTGGCCATTTTAAGACGTTTTTGACTGTTTTGAGCCCTCCAGTAAGTAGAGCTTAAGTGACCTTGAGTTAGGTACCCCGAAATGATACTCTTAGACAGCTGGTAATGCATCCTGAAAAGCCTGTTTACCAACTTTCTAACGCTAAGACCTTTTTGACGGCCATTTTGGCGCCACACAGTTTTGGCCACATGGCTCACTCGTGAAAGCTGACAAAAAAAGAGCATAAACTTGCAGCGATTGACTCCCGACAAATCATCGGCGTCACTTGTTGACTGTGCGTCCAGTTAGCGACAGACATTGGCTACATACTGGATGGCCTCAATCACCCTCAACCGTCGTGAATGGCCCAGTGCGGTCTAAATACCGAGACGTTCCCGTATCAGAGACCTCTATGTTGCGGCGTAAGCCGTCTCCAAAGGAAGTGAACTCTCTGGCAAAAAATATTTTGTCTAGACGAATTATTTACCGTGGAGCACATTCACAGTTGCCATGGCAACCCCAAAAGCTCAGTTACAAAATGAATTAAGCGTGGCTTTAAATAAGAGAGCCTCTAAAAGAAAAATTTAGGTGAGAAGGAACTTATGGGACACCCTGTACGGTATCGGGCGGCAGGTCCGGCTCCGAGCCAGTGCAGTGGGTCGGTTCAGGTGCGCCGTGGGCTCTGGTGACGACCGGCGCCGGATCAGGCCGGGTGGGCTCCATTCCCCGAACACCGGAGCCGTACGACAGCGCCGCGTCGGGCTGGCGCGATCCGCAGCCGGAGCCGTACGACAGCGCCGCGTCGGGCTGGCGCGATCCGCAGCCGGGCCGGGCCGTCAGCCGCGGCAGTAACTGAGCGTCTCCAAAGTAACAGCACCGTGTCCGTGGTAACGCCGCAGTTTCTTGGGCTTGATATCGCCCGGCCGGCGTCGCTGGGGTGTCTGTCATCAATACCTGCCTCCGGTCGGTGGTGAGAGCTGGGTCCGCCCCCCCCCCCCCCCCTGTCTCTGGTCAGTGCTCCCCACCACCTGAGGTCAGTGATCGACCCGAGGTCCGCTTCCTCCCTCGACTCGCACCTGCCCTCGACGCAGGTGCGGGCAGCGGGCGGCGGGAGAAACGTGGTGATACGATCCCCTACCGACGCGGCTGTCGGCGCGCCTGTTGCGGCGACAGCGGCGGCGCGGCTGGGACGATAGACGGCGCGGCTGCGGCGGACGGCGCCGGTAAATAGGAAGTGGCGGCGGCCGTGCGGTGCCGGCTGCCGTGCTACCGGCGGCGGGCCCGCTGCCGTGCCGAGCGGTGGGCGGCGGCACGGCCCCATCCGATATATCGGTCCGTGATTAACTCAGCGTTCGGCCGCACAATCCGGCCGTAATGCGTTTATTTGCGGAGGAATTAGGCGGGCTCTGTGTGGCTAGAGTGCGGCTTTGGTGGGATCACGCCATCGAGGCTCGCCCGCACGCCACTGCTCGCACGACCTCGGTGCTCCGCACGGGAGCCGGGCCCGCCCGGGCGGCGACTGGCTGCCAGCCCGGGCGAACTATCCCGGCGCTGAAATTATTCCAGCGGGAACATCCCCGACGTGCTACCGGCTCCGGTGCTCTCGTGGCCGGCGAATGACGTCTCACTCGCAGCTTAACGAGATGTACCGGCTCGTATCTTCCACCGGAGTTTCTGGGACTCGGAGCGGCACCTCTGACTGGATGGATGAGATGTGCTGGACCCTGCGCCGTTTTCTGCTTCCAGTGACGCCACAGGGGCTGATGGTAATGACTGAGGGATGTGTGGCGAGTGTCGGAGACTGGCGGGGTGATCGGGTGTCACCTCTGTTAGTGACCAGTCGCCTGGCGGAGTCAGTGGACAGTGCCACGCCAGGCGGGACGGATCAGGACGGACGGAGAGACTGGCGCCAGTCTGCTGTCCCTGGCGCCCGACCGCACTGGTGCCCGGAGTTCTCAAGATTCGATGGAGATGATGTCAGCTGTGTTACCAAACCTGACGTGACCTGACCTGACCGGACTGCTGTCCTGTGTTCCCAGGAGGCGGTCGAGGCGCTGGTGGCCGACTACCTGCAGCGGTTCTCTCAGATCGCCGGCCCGCTCATCAACTGCGCGCCGATCCTTAACTGGTTCGAGCTCGACAACCGCGGCAACCGGCTGCTGGTGGCCGACGACTCGGACATCAACACGCCGGCCGTGGCCGCCGCGCTCGTCGGGAAACGCTACGTGGCACAGGCCAGCGACGAAATCAGCCTGGAGGTGAGCGGCGGCGGGGCCGAAGAGTGTCGGCAGGACGGGGAGGAGGTGAGCGGGGGGGTGGGGGCCCGGGAGTGTCGGCGGGACGGGGAGGGAGCTGTCACTTGTCAGGTGGTGCGGGCTCGGTGAACTCGGAGCAGTGCCTGGTGGGTTGGCTCAGAAATTTGATTGTCTTTCTACGGCACTGAATCTTCGGAACTGTATGATAAAATGCATACTCGAGCATATGCTTGGGGTGTCGTCTCCAGATGCTTGGTTGGTAGATGCATCAGAGACACATAGGCCTATGGCGGAAAGCGGCTGTTTCATAGATAAAAGGCACGCCTGGGAATGTAAAGGGATGTGCGCGTCTGTTCTGCGTGTGCCCTCACGTCGTTTAGAACACCTGGGGTGTCCGATTTCACACCATTCAGCTGAGGTACCGCCGGTCTCCCGGGACCCATTCGAGGGCTGTTATCGCTGCTGTATCAGTGGGACGGGGCGGCAGATAGCGGTGCGTCCCCGAGCCGGGTGGGGCATGAACGGGGCGCTGCGGGCCTGCCGGCTGAGATCGGTCGCCAGCGCGGAGAGACTGTCATATCCTCTGCCTGGTGTGAGGGTGACGGTGTGTCACTCGTGACAGCTGACCCGTGGCAGGCGTGGCATGACAGCTGACATGGCACTGACTCCGTGGCAGGCGACATTGTCCGACTCTCGCTACACCGGCACTGCACCCTCCTGCTCGTGGTAGTTGGCCAGGTGGACTCCTGTTAAATCACTCCACATCTCCCCTCTGTAGAACCCCTCTCTGGTCGGCGCGTGCCGAATCACTCCCCACCCCCCCCCCCCCCCACCCCGCGCCGTTGGACAGGGAGGGGACGGGCGAGTTCCGGCGTCTGGCGACCTTCGCCCGGTTCCGGGCGTGGTGCCGTTTCTGCTCGGTTTGCCGGCAGAAGGGCGCCGTTAGAGGGGTGTCGGGGTGTCGGGGACGGCGGACCGGGTGCGGGGTGGTGGTCGTTCGAGTCTCTGTGGCTCTGACGTTCTAGCGGTGACTGGCTCCGAGTCTGAGTCCGAGTCCGAGGCCCAGTGGGCGATCGCAGCCCGTCTGTTCATCCTAAACGGCCCTATCGTAAATATCAGATTAGCTCTGCGTATGCCAAACAGCTTGAGGGTATTTCTGCTCTGATTCCCCAGGTGGTTCGGCACATGGACCGACACCAGGTGCCCCGCCCTGTACCCCTGTATCCGCGCACGGCGCCAGGTGCCACGGGTGCCATTTGTCCGGCCCTTGGTGCTCGGTGACTCCCACGAACCCCGGTTACCCGGACCGGGGGCGGGGCCAGCGGGCGGTCCATTCCACCACCGAACTGACCCATTTCCGGGGAGTAGCGACTGGGCAGCGGGGCCGTCCTTTCTCCGGCGGCCGGCGGTCCGGAGCGGCCGCGCCACCCTCTACCTGTGTCTGCGGAGGGAGGGAGGGAGGGAGGGGCGGAGGGAGCCACTGGCACCTGTCCGGGGGAGACGGACCGGAGACGGCGGCGCGACCGGGCCGAGCCGACACGGACCGGACCGGACCGGACCGGCACGGCACGCGTCCCGGCCAGCCCCCGGCTCAGACCGGACTCGGTGTTAGTGACACTGCAGGTCGCGAACGAACGGCGCCGGTGATGCTCCGGTCTCTCTGGGTAGGTGCTGACCTCGATGGCGGCCCCGCACCCGCCGGTCATGCCGTCCTCTGTTCGGGGTGTCCGGGCGGCTGTCGTGTCCTCTCTCCTCGGCTCCGGGTGTCCGGGCGGCTGGCACCTACGGCGGCTCAGTCTGACAGTCGAGACGAATTGTGCGTGACGCCGTCGGCGTCGGCCGACCTCCGACACGGCTCCGTCACCGGCGACCTCTGTGGCCGCGCACACCGCTGGCGGGTAGGTGTCCTGACCTTCACCGTCGGCCCGTCCTCTCCTGGACACGTATCCGTCACCGGCGACCTCTGCACACCACTGGTCCGCGTCCCGACCTTCACTGTCGGCCCGTCCTCTCCTGTGCTGTCCGGTCTTCTCTCGTTTGCTGCCGCTCCTCTCCCGTCTCCGTCCTGACGGAGCCGGCTCGTCCGTCCTCGACTGGTCATTAATACTGCCGCCTTGTTAGTCGTGTGACGACGGCTCGGCGGCCGCCGGCCCGCGCTCCCGGCACCGCATGACGGATTGTGCGAGACTCATTTTTCGGCGCGCGTTTAATGTGACGGCTCGGCTCGTTAGACGGGGACGGGGCGGCGGTCCGGTGACGGCGCAGCTCGTCGCTGAAATAGCCGCCCGAAATGATGCAGACGAATGACGCAGCTCGTGGGCCACCTTTGGGCCTCGCTGGGGTCGTGGTTAGCTGTATGATTTATTTACGCGCAGAACTGTTTGTCCAAGCATATTGTGTCAAAAATTTCAAACCTTGCATGTTCAAATTTCCCAGCTTGTTCTTGAATGAAAAGCAGACCACAGACGCCCCGAGACCGAGCCTGGTTGGGTCACAGCTGGGAGCGTTTTTCATCTGTCCCGACCAGACGGCCTGTCGCCGACTGGTCGCCATGGCAACCGGAGATCAAACGCACCGCTCTGTGTGCTGTCGGACGGCCGGGCTGGTGTGGAAATAGACCGCCGGCCAGAGTGACCGTCATCTGGGGCGGCTCGGCCGCGGTCGGCTCGGTTCCGGCAACCGCAGCGTGGTCTGCGGGCCGGACCGGGGTGGACGCCGGACGGCGGCTGCGGCCGGTCCGGCCGGGCCGTGTCTCAGCGTGCCGCCTGTAGCGGGCTGGCACGGCCGGCTGACCGCTCAGATCACTTCGGTCGGACAGTGACGTGCGACAGGTCCGCCCCCGGCCGGACGAGGTCGTCTGGTGCGGCGGTGACCCGAGGAACGGCCACTCACATATTTGCCCTCTCAGTCTGAGCTGCGCTGAGCTCGGAATCACAGCATATCAAAATGACACCGGGGCGCACCAGCATTCTGTCCGTTTCGCTGCTCCCAGCGGAGGTGAGATGGCGTTCCGAGTCGCAGGCGCCTGGTCACCTCTGCTGCACTGTGTACAGTGTAGTGTGTAGTGTGTGCGCCTCTCTGATGATGTGTCTGTGGTGGGCGGCCGTCAGTGTCCGGTCGGGGTCAGTTCGACTAGTCTGAGGCGCCGGCCGACTCTGCTGTACTGACCCGCGGTCGTGTCAGTGCCTCAGTGCCGGTCGGGGCCGCCCGGCGCGGTGCACTGACCGGCCGCCCGGGCTGCAGCCAGCCCGCCGCGCGGCTCTGCTGGCCGTGAGTCGGGACGGCGGCCGTTTGACCGGCACTTGGCCCTCGCTCGGCGCCAGCTTACTGCCGCCAACGGCCCGGCGGCGGCGACGGCGCGATACATGTGGCGCCGCCCCGCCGCCCCCGCCCCTGCCCCCGCCGTCCCCGACCCCGCCCGTGGATGGCAAACTGAACTGAGCCTCCGATTATATCATGGAGCGGTGACGACCCTGTCGTGTGCTCTCCTTTCACGACACCCGGCGACGGCACCTGCCGCCCTCTGAACTACCGTGTTACCTCCCCCTCGCCCGCCCACAGACACGCGCTTTATGCGACCAGCACCCGTTTAGTCATGCCCTCCTACTTCCCTTTCACGTCCCATCGACGCACTGCCCTGTCTGCCGGCGTCCTTGGCACGTCCCACTGACGTGCTGCCGGCGTCCTGTGCACGTCGCGGCGACGTCCGTCCTGTGCACGTCGCGGCGACGTCCGCCAGAGATGCACGCGATCTGCGTGTCCGGCTGTATACAGAGCCGATTACACTGGCCTGCGTTTCAAGACTTTTTTCAAAAGGTCTGAGGTTTCTCAGCTGTTTATACAAGTTTTGTGTGCTGAATCTGAAAAAGTCATCCATTTTTCTCGATTAGCTCGAGTTTTCAAACAATGTCAAGGATAAAAGTTCACACACTGATGCATTAATATGCACATTGAAGTGGGCATGCTGATATATTTTCCCCTAGGTTGGATATTTCTCAGCTGTTCTAATACAAGTTTGGTGTGCTGAATTCAAAAAAGCTATCCATTTTTCTCGATTAGCTCGAGTTTTCACACTATGTCAATGATAAAAGCTCACACATTGATGTATTAATATGCATCTTGGAGTGGGCATACTGATACATTGTTCCCCAAAGTTGGAGATTTCTCAGCTGTTCTATAATACAACTTTTGTGTGCTGAATCCAAAAAAGCTATCCATTTTTCTCGATTGGCTCGACTTTTCACACTATGTCAAGGATAACAGCTCACACACTGATGTATTAATATGCATATTGAAGTGGGCATACTGAAACATTTTCCCCCAAGATTGAATATTTATCAACTGTTCTAAATCTAATGCATGTTTTGTGTGCCGAATTCGGAAAAGCTATCCATTTTTCTCGATTAGCTCGAGTTTCCACACTGTCAAGGATACATTACACACCGATGCATTCATATGCACATTGGAGTGGGCATCCGGCATACTGATACATTCTGCACTTTTTTAGGTCCCATCTCGATTATTTCCCAGAAAACTGGTGATTATACTGAAGAGCAGGCAGAACGTTTCCACAAAGACATGCGTGTGATGGAAAAAACGGTACGAGGGTCGGTGGGACGTCAACTTTCTGGCGGACTATTGCTGGTGCTTGAAGAGGGACGTCCCACGTGCTCAACACAGTCGGAAATCCGTGAAAAGGCCATTTGTGTCGCAGCAGTGCGTGTGTACTGTGATCGGAATTCACTTATGGTGCGTCAGTTTGCAGTTTAAACATATATATGCTTCTGTGGGATTAACTATACTAAACCAATCAGCATGGCTTTGTTCATATGGACAAAACAACGTATCTTAAAAAAATCGAGCTAATCGAGCAAAACGGATTCCATTTCCGGAATCAGCGTGAAAAACTGATCTACAAACAGTTGAGAAACCATTGACCTTATAAATCACGCAGACCAGTGTTATTAATCGCACGCGGCGCGAGCGGCGGCCATTGTGCGCGGGCGCGCGCGCGCGCGCGCGCTGCCGCCATTCGTTACCGGCCGTAAATTGGCGCGGCGTTACGGCGGCGCTCCCGGTGGATTACCATCACAATGTACCGGCGCCGGCCCGGCTGGGTGAGCTGCCGCACCGGGTACGCCGCTCTGGGAACGGCGCAGCAGCTGGGTCGTACTCACGCCAGCCGGAGCCGCTGTTCCATCCGGCTGCGGCGGTCTGAGGCGGATTGCGGAACCCCTGTCCTTGGCGGCCCCCTGGTTTCCCAGGGTCCGGAACTGCATATTATGATGTGCTCCGATATGGTTGTAGCCAGGGATGCGGAGCCGTGGAAATTTCAGACGGCTCCGGCTCCGGCTCCGGCTCCGGAGAAAAAAATCGGCTCCGGCTCCGGCTCCGGCTCCGGGTGAAATGTCATGGCGGCTCCGGCTCCGGCTCCGGCTCCGAGTAAAATGATCCGGCTCCGGCGGCTCCGGCTCCGGCTTCTACTCAGTACATCCCCTATGCGATCAATTAAATACGGGTGGAAGAAAAAAGGCGATGGGATTGGTTCACGTTGCTTCTGTATTTGTATAACAAGGATATTTTGAATACCACATTGTTTTACGCCTTGTATGTACTGTCAAACCGAACTAGGCAAATTATAATTGTTTCCTCTTAAGAAAAGGAGCCGGAGTCGCCCCCTTTTTTGACGGCTCCGGCTCCGGCTCCGGCTCCGGGCAAAATATGCCGGCTCCGGCGGCTCCGGCTCCGGCTCCGGCTCCGCATCCGGCTCCGCATCCCTGGTTGTAGCCTCTGCTTGTGACTAACAGTGGCTCCATTTCCTGACGAGCTCGCACAGAGCTCCTTGGTGCCCGGCCCGCCGCTCGACTGCTGGTGCGCGGGCGGCGCTGCGCTGCTTGTGTCATATCACAGGCGCCCAGTGTCAGCGATGGTTGGCTGACAGACTCTGTTGCGCGGCGCCTGTGTTTGCGGCGCGGAGAGCCGGGCGCCCCGCTCGGTCTGCCGATAGACCCCGGGCGGCGCGGCGGTGGGGCCGGGTGCGCCGTCTGACGTGGCCGGCCGCGCGGATGGGCTGCTCAGACGCGTCCCGATGGATGCCGCAGCGGCGGCTGTTGGCTCAGCGCCGCCCATAACGATCGGCCCGCCGCCGCCCACCGAGCTGGCTTGGCGACGGGCGCCCTGGCTGCGGCTGCCACTGCCGCAGAGATCACTGGTCAAAGTTTATCGGTTTTTGTATCAGCCCGTTTCAGTTTCAGTCGGCTGTCGGCTGAAGTTGCTGGGCGGCTGAAGACTCCGTTCTCCCGTTTCCTCTCCGTTTGTGTGGGCTCGGCTCAGTGTCTACCCTCCCGGCGTGGGACCGTCCCCCCGCCCCCCGTCGGTCCGACGCACCGCCGGCGTCCCCGGCGGCCAGCGACAACACGGCGCACGGACACAAACATTATTGCAGCAGCGGCGGCCGGTGGAGCGTTCTCATCAGGTTCGCCGCGGTCGGTCGGTGCAGTGTTTATTTTCCATCGGCGGCCGTCCCGCGGCGCTGGCCATGGACGGTCTGTGCGTGCGTCGGACCGCCGGACCGCGGCCGGCTCCGCTGTGCTGCCACTGGACGGTCGCAGCTACTGACGGGGCTCAGTGGCGGCCGTGGGGGATTTCAGGAAGCCGTGAGATCTGACTGGCGGCTGGCGGCTGACGGCTGGGCTGTGCTCGAGAGCGCTCTGTGACGGCTGTCTCCACGCGGGCCGAGCGAGCGAGTAGTTACTGATCGCTCCAGTGTAGCCAGAAGCATGTTTGTGTTATCGATTCGCCGGTGTCCACAGACTGAGCACCGCCGTCGGTCTGTCCGATCTGTGTGTGTGTGCTGTCGTTCCCGGCTGCCGCTTCCTGCTCCAGGGGTAAACAGTGCGGCAGCGGCGCTGTGCCGGCGGCCGGGCGCGCTGCTCTCTTCATTACGGCCGCCGCTCCATCAGCGACCTTACAGGCCGGTAGTCGGCCACAATGCGCCGCCAGCATCCGTCAGTGGGTCGGACACGCCGCCGCGCCACCCGGGCCCATTGTGCCGGCCGCGCCCTGTGTGCCGCCGTCGCTCCCGACGGCTGTCGGTATCGACGGCCGGCGAACGTCGATGGGCGGCGGGGGGCGGGGGGCAGCCAGAGGGTCGGTGGGCGGTGGACGGTGGACGGCGGTGGTCGTGCCAAGCACAGGAGATGCACAGGCGCGTCTGTATGAATACAGAGACGTCTCTGGCGGCTCTGTCCGGTGCGTGCCGACCCGCCGCGAGACCCGGGTGCTCCGCTGAGAGCTCAGTGCTCCGCTGAGTGTTCTGCTGAGTGTTCTGCTGAGTGCTCCGTTCTCAGTACTGTGGCGCCAGCAAATCAGAGATGGCGCTAGTTACTTCACTGGCTGGGTCGTTTTTAGGTCCGTGGTGATGCAGAGTTCACAAACTAAGCCAATATGAATAGGATGTCTGGTCGCCTTCCGTTCCCGTCGTTGTCCAGTCCGTCATTCCTCCATCTCAATACGCTCCCGGCCTGCCCTGCTCTATGGTGTCCTGGCTCGCTAACACCCGCTGCTGGCCTCCTTACGTGGCAGGCTGCGCAGACAGGACGGCCAGTCTGCCGTTCTGACTGACTTTCCCGTGGCGAGCTGGCAGCGCGGCGTCAGGGTGTAGCTGGGCCGGCGATCCTCGCACGGCGTCAGGGTGTAGCTGGCCCGGCGGTCCCCACACGGCGTCAGGGTGTAACCGGGCCGGCGGTCCCCGCACGGCGTCAGGGTGTAACCGGGCCGGCGGTCCCCACACGGCGTCAGGGTGTAGCTGGGCCGGCGGTCCCCACACGGCGTCAGGGGGTGGAGCTGGCGCGACGGTCGCCACATGGCGCCGGCCATTCGCTGCTCCCGAACGGCGGCCTGGGCGCCGGAGCAGCGGGTCTGGCCGCAGAGTGGTGTCGTTTATTGGAGCTACGAGCTCATTTTGGAGACTCCATTTACTGAGGTTGCCAGGAAGGACATTCGCGTTAATGCAAGAGCCCGTGAACTAAGCTTATGTTTTCGTTTTCATTTTTGTCTGTCGGCGCGTAGGTTGTGTTTTGTGTGCCACTGATCTGCCTGGTGACCTGACCCGCCCCCTCCGCCTTCCACAGGTGGGAGACATGATATCGATGATTGTCATGGCCTGACCTGACTTCCCCCTCCCGCAGGTGGGAGACATGATCTCTGTGATTGGCCTGAGCTGACCTGACCCGCCCCCTCCCCCTCCCCCTCCCACAGGTGGGAGACATGATCTCTGTGATCGACATGGCTCCGCCGGACGAGTCGGTCTGGTGGCGCGGTAAGCGCGGCTTCGAGGTGGGCTTCTTTCCGTGCGAGTGTGTGGAGCTGATCGGTGAGAAGGTGCCGTCGCAGCTGGCCGAGGTGGCCGCCCGGCCGCGCCGCTCGGCCACGCTGCAGCAGCAGCCCAGCCGGCCGGTGCTGCGCAAACACGGCAAACTGATCGCCTTCTTCAGGTGAGCCGGGCGCCCGCTGAGCCGCGGGTCAGTGCTGGGGATGGGTAAACTTGTAAGGACGTGACTCGAGTGGACATGGCGAGCAATTGCGATTAATGTTACTGCATGCGCTGGTAGGGTGTTTTTTTTTTCAGGTTTGAGGTCTGCTATTAAAAATTGGACGCCTACAAGCGGCACTGAACGATGTGTGTTTTTAGTTTTATGTGAAGTTGTTTGTGTTGACATCTTGCGTGTATACTGAACGGAAAGGAAGAATCTCTCCAGCTTATTTTGAATGTGCCACGGAAGGCCTTTGGAAGGCTGTTAGAAGGATGATATAACTGTACTGTGTCTGTAGTGGACCTTAGTTGAATACCAATGTTTGCAGCCAACCTCTGCGCGAGAGACAATGATGAACTATGAGACTGGTCAATGCTATATGTACAAAGTAGCAAATGGGGTAAAAATGTCCTCTAAACAGCCGAGCTAGCGTGCCTTTGTGCTGAAACCTCTGGTGGAGATCTCGGGGGGGGGGTCAGGACCCCCTCCTGAAAACGAATTACTGCTATGTAAGTCAATGGTACTGCATCCAGCCCGCCTCCATCTGCCCGGCCTGGATCCCCTGAAATTCTGACAGATCTCCACCCCTGGCTGAAACCAGACTGATTAGTATTTCTGAACGAATATTACGGCACGCTTGGAGGATTTCTTCATTTTTTTCGGTAGATCCGGTTACTTTTGCAGAAGAATGATGTGGTGATCGCATTGTTCCGACAACTATAGTGATACGCTCAGTAAATGGGCGGTTTTTCTCGTTTGCAAGTGGTGACACCTCGCTGACGGCTGAATGCTGCGGTTATCAGTCCCGTCGCTACCCACTGGCCACAAATTAGGCGCCTGATCCGCAGTGATCGGAAGACCGATCGAGTCGAGTTGAAACGCTTTGCGTCCGTCCCTTCTTCGGTGTTTTGATCGATGTAATATTTTGATCCCGGTTTGCTAATCTACATTACATGCCTTCTCGCGTGTCGAACCAGATTGTTTTCGATGATGAATGGTCAAATGAGGCCAAAATATGTTACTACGGCTTACCAAGGGACTTTGATTAGAATCGGATTGGCTATTAGAGCAGTACTGCCTTCAAAATGACGCAGAAGTACGATGCGCGCTCGATGGATATGAGCTAGTCTAGTGTACCCCGAGAGTGTTGAACCCGCTGTGCTGTGCCGGTGTCTGTCCTGTGACATCACTGGTTGATTTGCTGTACCGGTGCCTTCAGGGGCCGCTGTGCTGTACCGGTGTCTGTCCGGTGACATCACTGGTTGATTTGCTGTACCGGTGTCTGTCCTGTGACATCACGGGCCGCTGTGCTGTACCGGTGTCTGTCCGGTGACGTCACGGGCCGCTGTGCTGTATCAGTGACGTCGCTGGCCGCTGTGCTGTGCTGGTGTCTGTCCTGCACTGACCGCGGTCGGTGACGTCACTGGCCGGGCGTGGTCCCGGGTCAGTCTCAGTCGCCACAGAGTCTCGGCTGCCGGGCGGAACCGGACGGGCTGTTTGACTGCCGCCAGAGGAATTGATTGAATGGGTCGGCTGGCCGACTCGGGGTACGGTGCACAGTCCAGAGTCTGGTCCGAGGTGAACTAACTCGGGGCACTGGTCAGGTCGGTCGGTTCAGCCTGTGCGACTGCAGAGTCCAGGGTCTGATGTCAGGCAAAATAACTGAGCACTGCGGTCAGCAACAGCCACTGATCCCGACTTTAGAATAGCACGGCTGGAAAGTGAACAGCATGCTTATTGCTCGGCTGGCTGTATCAATGGCAGTGTGTTTAGTGAACGGATTACGCGTTCTGTGTCGCTTCCATCCGAGGGTGGATGGTGAGCTCGCTGTGTCGTGTGACAAACCGCCGACAGCTTTCGGGCTCTATGTTGTTGCGTTCTTACGTCAAAAAGCTCACTATTAGCCGGTAGCTGGCCGCACCGTCAGTCAGAAACGACGTCTCCGTAGGGGAGTATCTGCGATCCGTCTATCACGAGGTGTCCGTCTCTCCTCCTACGGAGCGGCGCCGTCCGGTTCCTTCTCTCCCGACCGAACAGAGCTGTTTGCGCCCGTCGCTCGTCTGAAGGAGCGGCGGTGTCTCTTGTCTCTGTCCTGGAAGATACCGCCGACTGTCAGTCTTCTGTAGGGCTATTGGAGAGCTCCTGCCTGTGTCTGGGACTGAAGGGCCGTTGGAGATCTGCCGTCTCTCTGGGACTGAAGGGCCATTGGAGAGCTGTGGCGTGTGTGGAGCGGCTCTCCCTGATAGAGAAGAGGGACAGCTCTCCCAGGGAGCGGCTGTCCTTCTCCCTGGGACGGGACGGCACTGAGCGTCTGTTGTGAGCCGCAGACAGCTGAGACGGATTAGTGGCCGGCCCAGGCCGCCGCCTCTGCGGGCCACAGTGTATCGACAGACAGACGCGGAGCGCCGCCCTGCTCTGGGTGCACCCCGTATTCAGCGCGGCGAGACAGTGCCCCCGGCGACCATTCACCGCTCCGTGTGTGAGTGCTCCCGGTGGGCCGATTGTGTGGTAATTCGGTCGGATTACCCACGCTGTCTCCGCCGCGCCGTCCTCCGCTGTCGCAGTGCCGCGCTCCCCTGCGGCTGTTACCCCGCCGCTGTCCGCGGGCCACCGGGTCCCGGTCACGGCCTGGCAGCGAAGATAAACCCGGCACTACACGGACGAACCCGGTGATCCGCACTGCGCCGCGGGCGCCGATAGTCGCCGCCGACTCTGGCCCGGTCGATGGTCGACGATCGGCGCGGCGGGGGCGGGGGGGGGGGGGTCGGTACGGGCACCTCCGGATCATCCTGGGTGACCCTGTGTTGGGTACGAATGGCGCCGTCGCCTGTGGACCAATAATTGTCTCTGGTGGCGATCTGTCACGGAGCGGGGGCGGCCGTCCCGTGCACACGTCCTGTCTGCTCAAGGAATTATTTGTTCCCTGTTCTCTGTAAACCACAGCCGTGCCTTCTCGCCCGGCTGTCCTCTAATGATGGCCGACCTGTGGTCGATTCCTGGTGCGCTCCGCCGAAGTGTCGGCCGGCCCGCCCGGCCCCGGGTGGTGGCTGTCTGTCATCTCTGGTGCGGTCCGCCGAGTTTTGTTCTGGCTGCCTCACTGTTGGTCGCCGGTTGGTGTGATGCATTGTCCAGACTGGATATGTCGGATTCTTTGGATGTTATATAAAGGAACGGGACCTCACCAGTTTCACATATTCACACGTAACGACAGTGTCCGTTCAATGAACTGACTTTGAGTCCATCTGGAGGCTTACCTTAGTAATATCTGATCATCTGAGCCACGCCCGTTCCGCTGTCTCTCGGTCCGTTCGCTGGGCTCCCCGGCAGCCCGCGGCCTCCTGTCGGCATGTTTCGATCTGCACGCCGCCGCCCTCCCACCCGCACCGTGCGTGGCCCGCCGCCGCCGCCGCCGCCGGTGACGGCATATGTATGCGGACCGACTGTGACGGTCACATGGTGACGCAGCGGCGGCGCCAGGCGGCGCGGCCGGGGGGCAGCGCGGACAGGCTGTCCTACCTCCCAGCTGCAGCGAGGGGGACTGGGCGGATGCCCCCCATCCAACAGCTCACCAGAGGAGGCGATACTCGGTGCAGCTGCCAGCACTCCATTGACGGGTGACCGGCGAGGGTCGGCTCGGTCCGTCCAGCCGCCTGCCGTTCCGGCCGGCAGCGCCCGCTAATGTCGGACGCGCACGGCCGAGGCCGCGGCGGCAGCGACGTCCGGGGCAGTAGCGGCGCGGCGGCGGCCGGCGGCGGAGTGGCGAGTGGCCTGGAGTGGCAGTGACAGTCGGCGCTCCAGGGGCGGCAGTGTCGGTGGCGACTGTGGTGACCGAGTCCCGGCAGGGTGGTGACTGAAACAGCGATGACTGTGGATGTGGCAGTACCAGTGACCGAGTCCCTGCAGTGACTGTGGCACTGACAGAGCGGCAGTGAGCGCCATGTGGCGCTGATCAGCGGCGGTCTGGAGCTGCTGTGGCTGTGACTGAGTTCCAGCAGTGGTGACTGACAGTCACAGTGACTGTGGCTGTGACTGGAGTGGTAGTGCAGTGACTGTGACTGAGTGTCAGTCGGCGCCATGGCGCTGCTCAGCGGCGGTCTCGGTAACGTGGCCACCTGTTGCAGGAGCTTCATCCAGACCCGGCCGTCGCGGCGCAAGCTGAAACAGTCGGGCATCCTCAAGGAGCGGGTGTTCGGCTGTGACCTGGGCGAGCACCTCATGAACACCGGACGCGACAGTAAGTACTGGTGGGGGCGCGACGGGAACCCACGCCGGACGCGACAGTAAGTATTTTTTTTTTTGAATTTTGCTCCCGACAGGCCGAGGCCCTGGTCGGGGTAGGGGAAGTTACTGGCTGGCAATTAGCCAGATCTTTCGTTTTACTTTACTTTAATGCCGGCTATGTTATTCCGGCCCGAGGCAATATCAAGAGCAAAGTTTACGTTAGACCGGCTCATGTGACGTCCGGTGGAAGCAAGTGCAAGGGGAAGCCAGAAAGGGTGCCAGAGTGGCAGTACCGAGAGGGATTTTGAGTACTTACATGTCTTGCTGCTGTATCTTGATGCTGCACTGTGGTAGTGTTGTAGTGTGTGCTGTTGGGGGCGCGACGGGAACCCACACCAGACGCGACAGTAAGTACTGGTGGGGTGCGACGTGAACCCGCACCAGACGCGACAGTGAGTAGGGGCGCGACGGGAACCCACACCAGACGCGACAGTAAGCACTGGGAGGGGCGCGACGGGAACCTACGCCGGACGCGACAGTGAGTAGGGGCGCGACTGGAACCCACACCAGACGCGACAGTAAGCACTGGGAGGGGCGCGACGGGAACCTACGCCGGACGCGACAGTGAGTAGGGGCGCGACTGGAACCCACACCAGACGCGACAGTGAGCACTGGGAGGGGCGCGACGGGAACCTACGCCGGACGCGACAGTGAGCACTGGGAGGGGCGCGACGGGAACCTACGCCGGACGCGACAGTGAGCACTGGGAGGGGCGTGGCGGGAACCTACGCCGGACGCGACAGTGAGCACTGGGAGGGGCGCGACGGGACGCGGTGGGCAGGAGCCGGTGGGTGGTTGTAGTCCATAAATGTGTTCTATGTGCTCGTCTGCCGTGTGGTGGGTCTCCCTGCTGAGTACTATTCATGATGTTACTCTCTGAAGTCCAATGTGATGACAGTTTTGATGTTCATCTGTATTGTCACAGTCGTGTTGCTACCGCATTCTTATGTTCTCCGTTCACTGTTGTATGTTTCCATTCCACCTTCAAGATCACTGGTGTGTATGCGTTGAACCCACCCTATGCTCGTCGTGGTGTGTTCCGCGCCCTTCAGTGTGATATCGTGCGTCCCCTACGGTGTCCCCGGTTCGTGTTCCCTGTCCTACGCTCCTTGCTGTGTGGCGCCCCGTGTTCGGTGTCACCGGGCGGCCGGGCTCGCCGTATGCAGATTCGACTAAGGCGTCGCTTGGGATGCGGCCCGCAGTGTGCAATGTGCATTACAGGGCTGTGTGGGGACTGACCGCATGTTCGGGAGGGTCTGCGGCCGTGGCCGACCGCATGTTGGGGAAGTTCGGCCGTGTTCGACCTAGGGGGCCTTGCGTGCTGTGCAGTGTGCTCACTGGTCGCCCCGCTGCTGCTGACACGGACCAGTGCGGTGTATGCCGGGGATGGGAGGGGTGCGAGGTATGTGTGGTGTGTGCCGGGGGACGGGGGATGGGCGAGGTATGTGCGGTGTGTGCCGGGGACGCTGTGTCCTCCCCTCCACCCGTCAGACCTCGCCGGTTCCTGAGCTGAATCACGGAGCTGCCACCAGTGCCGCGCAGCCTGGCCCCGGCCGCCGCGGCCGGCTGGTTGTCTTCCGGTGTCCCCCGAGTGTTTATCCAGCCTCGGACGCCGCACTTCCGGCCCGTCTGTGTCACAGTCTGTGCCAGAGGGCATGACTGGGAGGCCAGCGGCTGGGCGGTCACCAGTTCCGCTTTCGTGTGTTATCAGCAGTGGGTCATGCAGCCATTGGCGTCACCGTTGCCGCTGTGATCCGTCCATGCCTCTGATCTGGTCCACTCCTCCCTGGGTGCGTTGCCCCTGTTTGCCCGCCATTGTACCAACCACGTGCCGCGGCTGCAGTTGGTCGGCTCCTGACTCGGCCGCCCGTGTGTCTGTCTGTCCGTGTCGCCCGCCCCTCGGACCCTGTCCACGGACCGCCGGTTTGTTTTCATGTTTGGTGTGCCGTCGGAGACTGGCCGTCTGCCCTGCAGGCCAGCCGGGGCCGCCGAGCGCGCGTGTCGCCCCTCCCGTCTATCCTGTCCACCGTGCGGTCCAGTCTGACCCGCTGTGAGGTCTGTCTGGTACCTGACTGATTCGCTGCCTGGTATGTCTGATGCCCGTCTGCCCCACTGTCTGATCTGGTTTGTGCGCGTCTCCCTGCAGTTCCTGTGGTGCTGCGCAGCTGTGCCGAGTTTATCGAGGCGCACGGCATCGTGGACGGCATCTACCGGCTATCTGGCGTCAACTCTAACATCCAGCGGCTCAGGTGAGGGTCAGCTCCAACATCCAGCGGCTCAGGTGATTCAACCGAGCAGGGGCCGATGTCACCTCTCAGACCTGAGACTCCGCAGTCTCCGCAGCCGTCGGTTCCTGACCACACCTCCCGACTCCGACAGACCTCCTGACCGGAACTCTGGTCCTTACCACACCTCCTGGTCCTGACCAGACCCCCGGTCCAGACCAGACCTCCCAGTCCTGACCAGACGCCCGATCCTTACCACACCTCCCAGTCCTGACCAGCGCCCCGGCCGGCCGGCCGGCCGGAGCTCGCTGATGTCACCGCCGCCGGGCACGCTGTCTGACCAGAGTGCCACCCGCCGCCGCGGCGGCCCGGACCTCGGCGTGACCGGCCGTAAACAGTGCGCGGCCGGCTGAGTCAGTCCGGTCCGGGCGCCCCGCGCCGACAGCCAGGCGGACCGCCGCCGCGTCTGATGTTCTGGCCCGCTCGGCGCGGGGAACCAGCGCGCTCCGCCGCGCCCGGCTGCCGGCGGCGCCGCGGCCGTGCAGCGGCCAGTGCGTGCCGCCGAGGGAGGCGTGCCGCTCCTATCCGGCGGGGACGGGGCGGCGGCCGACCGATGTACCCGTCCCACGGGACGTACTCGCCGGACCGATGTACCCGTCCCCGCGATTCAGGACACTGCAGTCCGGCGGGCCGGCTCTGTGCGGGTGTACCCCCGTGGCCTGTGACGTGACGGTGGCCTGTGTGAAGGGTGTCTGTGTGACGCCGTCTCCGCAGCCGGCGGCCCCGTCACTGACGTGTCATGTCCTGTCGGCTGGGTCAGCTCAGATGGTTCGCGACTTCTTAACGAAACTGGTTCTACCTGGCTAGTCGACCCGCCGGTCCCGGAGGCCCTTGCTCCCCGCTGGATGGTCGTTTCGCCCCCTGACCGGGCGCACTGTGTCCGCTCCCCGTGTGACCCCGTTGTGACCCAGTGTGACCCAGTGTGACCGTCGACAGGAACACGTTTGACGAGGACCGGGTACCGGACCTGGCGGACCCGAGCGTGCGCCAGGACATCCACAGCGTGTCGTGTCTGCTCAAACAGTACCTGCGAGAGCTGCCCAACCCGCTGCTCACCTACCAGCTGTACGACAAGTTCGTGTCGGCCGTGCAGAGCGGCGACGACCAGCGCCTGCTGCGGATGCGAGACGTGGTGCAGCAGCTGCCGCCGCCCCACTACAGGTCGGTGGCGCTGGCACAGCGGGCGCCGCGGCTGCGGGCGGCGGTCAGGGATGGGACGGGTCAGGACGGGGGTGTTAACGTGTGGCCTCTGCTGGGTTAGGGATGATGTACCGGCGGCTGACTAGCGCACAGTATAGATATTTCAGCTGGTCATGGAGGGAAGTATCATTTTTGTTTCCGGTTTCCTTTGTTTGATTGTCATTTGTTTATTAAGTTTATTTTGTTTGTTTTTCATTAGCGCACGGAGTAACACAAGACGCACGCCGTACTCCGACTGCTGCGATGCACGCGGGTCCGTCAGGATGTGCTTCGGGTCCGCCCCTGGCAGCTCTGACCCGATCCGTTATAGCTGGCTGACCTGACCTGACCTGTTCCAGGACTCTGGAGTACCTGATCCGGCACCTGTCGTGGGTCCCTAACCTGACCCGACCTGACCTGTTCCAGGACCCTGGAGTACCTGATCCGGCACCTGTCGCGAGTCTCGGCTCACGGTCACAGCACGGGCATGACGCCCAAGAACCTGGCCATCGTGTGGGCGCCGAACCTGGTGCGGAGCAAGGAACTGGAGGTGGGCGGCGTGGCGGCGCTCCAGGTCAGTGGCACAGCGCGCGCGCACCGCGGCGGGGGGAGGCGGACCTCACAACACAGTGGAGGGGAGGGTCACAGCGCGCGCACCGCGGCGGGGAGGGACGGACCTTACACCACAGGAGAAGGGGTCTGGGCGGCCAGCGCGGGCTATCACAGGACGTCCGGCACATCCTGGCTATGGCGCGTTTGGTTGTGGTGACTGGGCTGGTCTGTACCAGGACCGGATCGAGACCAGCGGCGCGGTCCTCAGGTCGACCAAAATTTCACCACTACCTACCGACCGCGGGGCAGTGACATGGATGTCATATATGAAACCACTGACTAATGTATCAGTTACATGGAGAGTAGTGCCTATATGATAAAACAGCTGTCTAAATCCTAGTTACATTGCTGACATTTACCATCTGGACTGATGTCCCTCAGCACCTGTGGGCGGTGGCGTTACTCCCGCGCAGGCGGCCCGTCCTGTGTGTGTCCGGCCTGTGTGTGTCCAGGTGTCCGCTCCCTCTCTGTGTGTGTCCGTGTGTCCATGTGTGGGCCTGTGGGTCTGTGCTGCCTGTGTGCGAGTCCGTGTGTCTGTGTGTGGGTCTGTGCTGCCTGTGTGCGAGTCTGTGTGTCTGTGTGTGGGTCTGTGCTGCCTGTGTGCGAGTCCGTGTGTCTGTGTGTGGGTCTGAGCTGCCTGTGTGCGAGTCCGTGTGTCCGTGTGTGGGTCTGTGTGCGAGTCCGTGTGTCCGTGTGTGGGTCTGTGGGTCCGTGTGTCTGTGTGTGGGTCTGTGTGTCTGAGCTGCCTGTGTGTGGGTCCGTGTGTCCGTGTGTGGGTCTGTGGGTCTGAGCTGCCTGTGTGCGAGTCTGTGTATCTGTGTGTGGGCCGGCGGTGACCTCACGGCTGACATACAGCCGCCGGCCGCCAGTATTAATGACGGCAGCGCCGGGCGCGTGGCCGCCGGCCAGTGCCGTCACTCACCACCGCTCGCTGCAGAAGGCCGGCGGCCCCCGCCCCCACCGCGCGCCGGCCGGCCGGCGGGCTGCACGGCCGCCGTGCTGATATACACCGTACACACAGTGTGAAGGACGGCCCTCTCTGGCGGCGTCAGGAGGCCGGGTCCTCACTCCGAGCGGGCGGCCCCCTGGACTGTTGGTGCCGGGTGCGCTGAGCTGTCACCCGGATATGTGTGGTGGGCTATGTCCCTGCCGATGGCCGCAGACGTTGCTGGTGGAGTCTGGGTGTGAGGTCGGCGCGGATGGGAGGGTTCTAGTGGGATGCTGATGTGGCCTTCGATGACGTCCCCGTTCCGTCGACAGTGTGACGGATCACCTAGTACCACCGTGGTATGGCTGACCTCCCCGTTCCACCGGCAGGGCGTGGGCATCCAGGCGGTGGTAGTCGAGTACCTGATCCGCTACTGCGAGCTCATCTTCAGCGACAAGCTGCCGGCCTTCTGCCCGGAGCTGGCGCCGCAGACGCGCACGCCCAAACGCTCCCGGCCCAAGTCGCTGGCCATTTCCACGCCGACTAAGCTGCTCAGTCTGGAGGAGGCGCGCTCCCGGGCGCTCGGCGTCTCGGCCAAGGCCGACCAAAAGTACATCGAAGTCGGTCAGTGCGGGCACGGGAGCAGGCTTCGGCCAGGGGCTACGAAACTGCGCGTTGTGGTGCACTTGTTATGGCTATTTGTTAGTCAGGGTGATGCATTTGGAAAGATAACACTCTGAGCTGCGTGCATCCAATGAGTTACGTAGCTACAGGCTGTATGGGATTTGCCAAATTTACCCGTGTCGTGCAAGTTCGAACCTACTGCTGCCTCGCTGACCGCCCCGTGCTGTCCGCGGCAGGCGGCGGCCCGTCCCAGCTGCCCACCAAGTACCACACGGTCATCGAGCTGCCGCAGCGCAAGACGGGCTCGCTGAAGCTGGGCCGGTCGCCGCTCGGCTGGAAGTCGCTGTTCCGCGGCCGGCCGGCCAAGGCGCACCAGCGCAAGGGCTCCGAGCCGATCGACATCGGACTGACGGTGGGCCCGGGGGCGTGAGGGGGACGGGGGCGCGGCGGTCACGGGGCCGGGTGCGGTGGCCGGGGGCCGGGGAGGGAGGAGCGCTACTGGTGGCTAGTGGGTAGCGTAATGAGGGCTGACTTACAGGCCGCAGAGCCTTCTCATGGTTAGAATGAAAAAGTGGCGCTAATGCATGGATGGGACACTTTTATGGCCTATATGCTGTATACAATTACGCAACTTTTTGCTTCCACATCTTCACTTCTGCATAATAACTTTTGGTAAAAACGCCATTTTCTCGCATGGCTCTGCATTAATGGAACGTACAGACCTAATGTGACTTTATTAAGTAAGCCTTTTGCGTTTGTTCTCCATTTCTGGCCTGCATCCATCGTGGAATGTGGATAATGTCTGATGTATTTTGTGATCGGACCATCTGAACGTGCCGTGTAACTGCGCCGGTGTCTGACCCCCCCCCCCCCCCCGCTCCCTCCGCGCCGCAGGACAAGACGCTGACGAGTCCGACCTGACCCAGGGCCGGTGTCTGACCCCCCCCCCCCCTCGTGCTGCAGGACAAGACGCTGACCGAGTCCGACCTGACCCAGGGCCGGATGCGCACGCGCCGCCTCCGCTCCGTCAAATCGGCCGACTCGCTGGTCTCGCTCTGCCACGCCGAGAGCCAGCGCGGCTCCATGGTACGGCACGGTGTGGCGTGGTGCGCGAGGGCCCTGTGGCTGGGTGGGGTGGTGGTTGGGAGGGGGATGCTCTAATATGAGTCCGAATGTTAATGGGATGCGGCAGACATTTCTGAGATGCTTCTTTGTTGCAGCTTCCCGTAGGTGACTGTGGAGGGTAGCTTTGTGTTCCAGTGATGTGTTCCCACCAACTCCGCTCGCTCGACTGATCTGTTGTCCCTCCTCCGGTGCCCTCCCCTGCGCGCCCTGTGCCGCTGATTTCGCCCCGGCCACCCGGCCCACCCACTGACTGCGGTCCGCGCTGTGCCCCCAGCTGCTGGACGCCAGCCCCAGTCCGGTGACGCTGCCGGCCTCGGCGCCGGCGGCCGAGGCGGCCGCGCTCCGCTCGTGCTCCGAGTCGGACACGGCCGAGGCCGCCGAGCCGGCGGTGCGCGCGCACGCCCGCTCCGTGTCGCACGACTCGTACTTCAACAGCCTGCTGGAGCTGAAGCTGCCCTTCTGCGACGCCGAGGAGCGGCTGGAGGAAGAGGAGGAGGAGCTGCACACCCAGTACTGCTTCGACGACAGCGACATGCGCGTCTTCAGCGAGGACGAGACGATGCGCGCCTCGGACTCTGCCGGCTGGCGCGGCCGGATCCGGCAGCTGACCTCCCCGCCGAGGGTGCGGCGCGCCGCCCGCTCAGAGGATGGCGGCGTGAAGCGCGCCGCCTCCGGCTCCTTCCGCGACAAGGTGCTGTCGGCGCTGAGCCCGGGCGCGCGCCGGCGCGCCGAGGAGGCCGCCGCAGAGGCGGGCGGCTCGCCGCGCGTCAAGGTGCGCAAGAAGGCCTCGGTCGAGACGCTGACCTGCTCCGAGTCGACCAGCGTGGACGTCTCCTCGCTGCGCACGGACGGCTCGGTGGGCGGCGCGCTGTCCGAGGGCGGCACGCCGCCGGCCGCCCCCGCCGCCGCCCCCGCCGGCCGGCAGGTGGTGGCCGAGGTGCACGTGTCGCCCGAGCCCAGCACGTGCCAGGACATCATCCTGCTGAGCCCCATCAGCGAGTGCACGGCCTCCAGCGCCGAGCAGTACGTGCGCCAGTCGGTCAGCTCGCCGGCCGACGACGTCACCGAGCGCGACGTGTCTGAGATCGCCGACTCTGACGGCGCACTCACGCCGGCCGCCGACGCCAACCGGCTCTCGACGCTGGTGCCCGAGGCGCTCGAGCTGCTGGACCGCCGGCTCAACTCTGAGAGCTTCCGCCGGGCGGTGGCCGACGCGGCCGCCGGCGGCGCCGACGGCGACGACACCTACGAGAACATCTCGCCGGTGGGGCCGGCCGACGAGCGCACGCCGCACGCCGAACACGCCGATGACTGCTACGAGCCCGTGTCGTTCGGCGCGCCGGGCGGCGACGGCGCCGGCACCGCCGTCTATGAGAACGCGGCGTTCGCCAGCGCGGCGGAGGTGTGGCAGCCGCGCTCGGCGCCGGCGCCGGCCGCGGACGGCGACGGCGGCGAGCTGGTGTACGAGAACGTGTCGCCACCGGCGCCGGACGCCGTGCACCAGCAGGTGCGCGTGTTCCGCGACTCGCTGCAGCAGGTGAACGCCCTGGTGGGCGGTGGCGCCGGGGCCGAGGCCGCCGAGCGGCCGGCCGCCCCGGCGCGCCGCTCGTTCGTCGAGCCTGGCGACTCGGCGGCCGCCGGCGGCTGCTCGCCGACCCGCTCGTGCCCGACGTTCTCTGACGGCTCGCCGAGTCCGACGGACGTGCGCTACAGTCAGCTGAGCTCAGCGGCCAGCTCGCCGGACCGGCTGCCCGGCTCCGCCGACCTCACCACGGCGGCCACCTGCTCCGACACGCTGGACGAGCGGCCGCTGCCGTCCGAGGCCGAGCGCTGCCCGCCGCCCGACGGCCGACAGTCGCCGGCGAGCGACGGCGCCGACGACCAGCCGCGGCTCGGAGCTGCGGGGCTGGAAAGTGATCTGACCGCGTCCGGGGCGGCCGGGGGTTCCAAGGAGGGCGGTTTGACCTCGTCTGGTGCTGCTGCTGAGGCCGGTCCGACTCTGTCCGGAGCAGCTGCGGACGACGGTCTGATCTCGGGATTACATGCGGAGGACGGTCCGACGCCGGCCGGAGCACCTGCGGAGATCGGTCTGACCGTGTCCGGAGCAGCTGCGAAGGACGGTCAGACTCCGGCCGGAGCCGCCCCGCCGGAGCTGCAGGGAAGGTTGGAGGACAGTGTGGCGGAGGAGCTGGTGTCGCCTGTGACGGGAGAGCCGCTGTCTGAGGACACGACCGTGGACTACCTGCTGGAGGAGCTGGGCTCGGAGCTGACGGCCGAGGCCTGTGCTGATCTGATGGTGGCCGTTGCTGGCCGGGAGTGTTCTGTCGGCGGGACTGGCGCAGCCCCGCCGCCGGCCGGGACAGAGGGCGTGCCGCCGCCCGAGAGTCGAGTCTCAGGAGAAGAATCTGACGGAGGCGGTCCGGGAAGCGACCAGGAGTCGCCGGACGCTCCGACCCCTGACCGGGAATCTGCGCCACTGGATCTGACCGGTCACCGAGTGAGTCTCGGGCCGGAGGAGGTGTCCGCACTCGCAGATCTGCTGCACGGCGACTGTGCGGCGCCGCCGGAGGACCTGCTGTCGCCCAGCCCGCTGCCTCCGCCGCCGGCCGACGAGAACGGAGCGGAGGGCAGTGACGCCAGCGGGACGGAGTCTTCGGAGTCGCCGGCGGGCGGCGCCACTCCCCCGCGGCCGGCCGGCGACAGCGGACTGGGCTCGCCAGAGGGGGGACTGGTGGGCGCGGCGCGAGCCAGCCCCAGCCCCAGCCCGAGTCCGAGCCCGAGCGGCAGCGGCAGTCCCAGTCCGCCGGCCGCTGTGTGTCCGGCGCCGGTCCAGTCTGCGGCGGTCGCTGAGCCGGACTCTGAGGAGCGGGCGCCGCCGCCGGCTGCCGGTGACGCTGCCGGCGGCCGGGGGTGCCGCGGCGTGGTGCTGACCGCCGAGGAGGCGGCCGTGGCGCGGCCGCGGCCAGAGCCGGCCGGCCGGGACGTCTCGTCGCCCGTCTCGGTGCCGGGCCGGGAGGCGGAGCGGCGGCCGGCCGGCGCGCGCGCCGCCGCCAGCTGGCCCAGCCCCGGGGACGGCGGCGGCGGCCAGCGGGCCGGCGAGCCGGCGCCCGCCTGGCTGCGCTCCGACCTGCGCCGGCTCAGCGACCGGCGCGCCAGCGTGCGCCAGCTGCTCTCCAAGTTCGAGCTGAAGGAGGAGGGCGACGGTGCCGAGGAGGGCGACGAGTTGGTCGGGCCGGCCGGGGAGGCGCCCGCCACCGGCGTCCAGCCGGACCGCGAGCCCGTCTCGCGGAAGACGTCGCTGCCGGAGCGGCCGCGCTACCTGTTCTCGCCGAAGCCGTTCCAGCGTCAGCTGTCTGACCAGACGGCGGCGCGCGCCCGGCCGGAGGGCAGTCGCGTCAGCCCGCTGGTGTCGCCCGCCTCCGGCGCCGCGCTGCGCATCACTGAGAACCCGCTGCACGCGGCCACCGAGCGGTTGGCGCGCTCGGCGGCCGAGCCGGCCCGGCCGCTGGACGGGCTGCGCGGGGGCTCCGTGCCGACCCACCAGCCGCGCGTCGGCTGCCTGCCGAGCCGGCCGGGCGACGCGGAGCCGGCCCCGGCTAGCGCCGCCACACCGGCCGCCCCGGCTGCCGTTCATCACTCGGCCCCTGCTGCAGCCCACCGCCTCGCGGCCGCTCCCGCCTCCTCCACGGCCCCCGCCCCCGCCCCAGCTCCGGCTCCGGCTCCGGCTCCGGCTCCGGCTCCCGTTCACCCGGCTGCTGTGTCCCCCGTGACCGAACCGGCGGCGCCTGTGGCCGAGCCCGGCGCCGCGCTGGCGGAGGACGCCGGCCGGCCGGCCGAGCCGTCGGCGGCGACTCTGGACGCCACGGCACGGGAGAGGATCGAGCGCTACAAGCAGGAGCGACGCAGCGCCCTCCGCCAAAAGTTCAACACGGAGAGCTTCAAGCGCGAGAAGACGGAGGTGATGCAGGAGCTGCGCCGGCCGGCCGGCGTCGATCCGCAGTCGCCGTCGCCGACCCGGCGCCAGCGCGAGCTGCTGCGCCGCAGTGACAGCGAGGTGGGCGCCGCGGCCGAGCGGCGCGCCCTGCGGCCGGCCGTGGTGTCGGCGCCGCCGGCCGCCGCGCCCTTCCGGCGCACGGCCAGTCTGCGCAGCCCCGGCCAGGAGGCGGCCGCCGCCCCCGCTCCCGCCGCCGCCCCCGCCCCGGCTCCGGAGGCTGCCGTGTCGCCCTCGGCCAGCGTCAACGACCGGCTGGCGGCGGCGCGGGAAAAGGTCTCCCGGTTTCGCAGCCAGGAGGGTTCGGCCGCGCGGGGCCGGCCGGCGGCGCCCGTCCGCGACCCCACAGAGGACGTCAACGTGCGCCAGCAGGTGGCCGGCTGGAGCCGCGCCGCCCCCGCCGCCGCCCCCGCCCCCGCCGCCGCCGCCCCCGCCCGGCCGGCGGCGGCGCGTGGCCAGCTGCCGGACCCGGGCAAAATCCGTCACATGGCCGCCAAGTTCGAGGGCGCGGCCGAGGGCGCCGGTCAGGGCGGCGTCGTCTGGTCCGTGTAGGCGGCCAACCCATTCCAGAGTGTGTGCCGGTATCTGACTGTTGGGACGTTGTTGTTGGCCCGCGCCCGGCCGCCGGCCGCCGGCCGCTGGAGCCATGTCATTTTGTATGTATTCGGTGTCGTACGCATGCCGCTCGCCAGTTCATCACCTGTGTTGTTCACCCTACTTTATACACCTGTTCATAATTTTTGCGCCAGGTCTGTCCATGTGACAATATGGATTTGCTCATCTCGTGTTTTGGATTCGTTGCTCGTGTACTGTGCGGACGGAGCTTCGCTCTGACCTGACCTGATTGTGGATGTTGCCAAAGAAAGCGTGACGTGGAGAACAGAAATGGTATGTCGACCTGTCAGGTACTGTGCCACTCGAAATGATTTTGTATATAAGCTTGCTGCTTTTATTTATGTAAGAAAGTGACTGAACAATGCTTACATAAAAGAATGTAGTTACTGAGGACACGTTTTTTGATGGCTTGGTTGGAACGAACTAGAAAGAACTAAATTAAGCTGGAAGTTCAGTGAGCGAACGACAGAACGACAGGCCTCGTGCGCAGATCAGTTTATTTTACAGTTAACGAGAGTATCTACGTAGCAGACACTGTCATGTCATAAACTGGTCTACATCTGTCTGTAGATATGCACCGAGAAGCGCCCAGGCAATTTGGCGCGGCGACCCCACCACTCTACACCCCACCACTGTATGTCAAAGAACTATCTGTTTCAATTTTGGATCAGCCGGACGTTGCTCCAGTTCGAAACTGACCTAGCTGTCATTTTGAGACGTCCGTGACGTATCTCCACCAGGGGGTCGGGGGGGGGAGGCCCTGCGGTGCCCCCGCGCCGGCGGAGGATCGCGCCGTCCTCCGTCCATAGGTGGCGCTGCCGGTCGGCGCCTGCAGGTAGGCTGTGCCGCACGGCTCCGGTGCAGGAGTTCGTCGGTGTCCAGCGGCGGACAGTCTTTTCATCCACAAAAGAAACCAAATATACCATTCGAAAGCTGACGATGAGCTGATTCCAAAAATGTATTTTTAATCGAAATCGTTCGATGGACTTTTTCAAAAATTGCGTTTTCTAAAAACATACCTAATGATTTTTTATTCAACGAGCTGTCCAGGACAGTCTTGAAATCATAGACATGTTTTTTTCGTTTTCCAGTGAAAGCTGAATACCAAAGGAACAATATGCAGCAATAAAACATTCTCAAATATTAACCCGCGCCCCGTAGGGGGGGGGGGGCGAAACGCCCCCCACCCCCCTGTCCTTTTCCGTCGATATCTCCTAAACGGCTGGAGATATCGCCACCAAACTTTCAGGACCCCTCCGGGCATCAATTTCACACATTGTGATCAAAAAAAGTTTTCCAGAGGCTATGATAGGTTGGCCACAAATGACGTCAGAATGACGTCATGTTCTGCCATTTTCGACCGAAAAAAGACCTTCGCGAGAAGAGCTGTCAGGCCTACAGCTTTGAAGATACAGAAAAATTATCAGAGATAAAAGGTGTAGAATTAACAGGGCTACAAAACTGCTATCTCGGATTTTTGAATTTTCTTAGTTTTGACCCCAAAAAAAATCCCAAAAGTTTTTTGAGTTTCGAAAAAACCGGAATAGATGTGATAGTACCTACCCTCTTCTATCTACATACCAACTTTCAGAGATCGATATCTCGTTTTTTTGGCCAAGTTATAGCGAAAAACTGCTCAAAAATGATTACGTCAAATTTTCAAACTCATTTTTTGGCAATTCTAGACCACGTAGGGCAAAACAAAGACCACCATTGGACTCCCCGTGACGAGCTGCATCGAATCGATACCCATTTTATGCAAAAATATCAACTTTGAAATTTGACCTAATATGACCTGACCTTGACCTGACCTTTACCAAAACGTGACCTAAGCTAGCCCCAAAGGCTGCCTGACCCACATAATCGCATTTGTCATGTAAAATGGACCATAAAACGTATCACACGACACTTTCATATTGTGTTCCCCCAGTGACCTGACCTCTGTGACCTAACCTGGTGTCAGTGACCTCAGATAGCGAAGTATGTGTTTGACGAACAATGTACTATCGATGGTTTTCAATAACTTACCAATTTACTCGTTTTCAAAACACATTTCTTGAAATGCCTGTGAACGGTGAAAATCCGACCTTTGACCTGACCTGTGACGTCATCGGTTTGACCTAGGTCAATGAAATTTTGTCACAAGGTAGTTCCCGGGTGAGGCTATCGAACACCGTTTGAATTTTGAAAATCGGCCGGTAAATTTCCGAGATCTTAGGGGGGGCCGAAACGGCCCCCCCCCCCCCCCTACGGGTGGTAGGGTCCGCCGGTAGCCCTACGGGGCGCGGGTTAATATGCGCCTCTCACAGCCGGCAGATGGACAACTGAGCGTCACGATGGATCAAGCTCGGTCACACAGAAGCGTGAAATGACCCTTATCGACTCGCAGACCCGGCGCTAGGCTCGTCTGACCGGCCACCGACGAAACGTTCGAGTCTCATCCTGCTAAACAAGTGTCATATTTGTTTGTTTAACCAATTAACCATCCATATCGCTATCAAAGCCATTCAGGATACCTACCTGTGAAGACAGTTCATTGTTCTGCTAGATTTACAACATGCTTTAATTTACATTTTTTATGCAGGTTTTGCTCCGTAACGCTGCGCTCAATGCCCGCGCAGGGAAAGTTAGCGGGGTTTCACTGTCAGAGGCCGTACCAGTGACAGCTGTTCGGCCCTGCGACCGGTCAGAAGCTTGCCCCGCCCTACCGGGCGCTACCCCCACTCCAGCCCAGCTGAGGCCGGTACAAGCTCTGGCAGCTCAGCGCGGTCAGCTTTCCTGATGCCTAGCTGATTTGAGCAAAGTAGACATAAACAAATGCAAATTCATACATAATGTGAACATGACAGAGCAATGAATCTTCCTCTCAGGTATCCTGAACAACTTAGGTAGCCGTAGGGGAGACCCGGGAGGCATTGGGCCCCCGGGAGGTATGGGCCATCGCAGTTTTGAGGAAGTGCTGCGTATTTTTACACATTTGACTGCGTAAACTGGTAGCAGCCGTTCCGTTATGCAGCCCACATGATTTCCAAAATCTTCCTCAGTCTTCCTTGGCAATGAGCGGTGATAAAGCGTGTTTTCCCTCTTCGAGTAAAATACGGTACATACAAGAAATTGGTGATATATTTGAACCAGGCTCGTTTTATGATGTCAGACCATCGCTAACATAAAGTTTAAAGCACCCAAATTAAGACTGGATAGACATTTTGAAGCTTTCTTGCAAGATTATGAGCTGAGATGCTACGCACATTCTGGCGTCCTAACCGGGAGGTTCGGGCCACCCACCCCCGTTGATCCTAAATCAATAAAATAGTGCTTTCATTGAATGCCCTCTTCAATAAGTCTTATTTTTGTCGTGCGTGGTTGTAAATTTAACTACAAGTTATGTTCAAACTGAAAAAATATTACCTATTTGTCTTATGTCATGGAACCTGATAGAATTTACCCACCTAAATATGTGGCCAAGTGCATAGGCGGCGGAACGGGGAGGGCACCGGGGCACCGCCGCCGTACCCCCTTTGATTTTGGCATTGTAACCCGCGCCCCACTGGGGTCTGCGTATAACACGCCCTACTGGGGGGGGGGGGGCTCTCCATAGCCCCCCCCCCCTCCTAACTCCGAAACTACTGGGCCGATCGTCAAAATTCAAACGGCGTCTGATAGCCCCGGAAAAACTGTCGAACGAAACTTAATTTCATTGACCTCGAGGTCACTGATGACGTCACAGGTCAGGTCAAAGTAAGAATTATTAGCATTTTGGCTTGTTCACATTTTGGGCTCTGGCCGCCGTCTTACAAGTCAGATCAGGCTCATTTTTGGTTTCCACACTCGTGAACAGATGCTCTAGATACCTTGAGGGTACTAAACTTGCACTTTGATTTTCAGGTCAGGGTCAGGTCATCACAGGTCACGGAAATATTATAGCATGCGTCGGTCACGTGACACATGTTTTATGGTCCATTTAGGCCATAGATTTCGAATTTGATGTCTTCTGTGTCATTCGAGGTCATTTTGAGTCGAATTTAGCTTAGGTCAGGTCACTTTCAGGTCAAAAAAGGTCAAATTTTGAAGTTAAAATTTTTCAACAAAAAAGTGTCTATAGGATGCAGTTTGAGCTCAGGAACACGATGGTGCTATTTATATTGGTGTACGATGTCAAATACGTACTGAAAAATTGATTTGAAAAATTAATAATTGAGAATTTTTGCAACAATGCGTATAACTTGGCCATTTTTGAAGATATTTAGCTAAAACTTGCTAGAGTTAGTCATAAGCATTCGTTCTGTCACATGTATTCTGTTTTTTTTTTCGAAAAATAAAAAACTTTTTGAAAAAATATAAAAATATAAATTTTAAATATTATTACAGGCATCGGTAGGATTGTGATTGCAGGATTGCAAAATCCTGATTGCATTCCTTTTTGGTGGATTGCACCTGGATTTGAAATCCATTCAAAAAAACAGGATTTGATTGCGGATTGGATTGCATCATACTTCCAATTTTTGCAATCCAATCCGGATTGCGTGTTTTGGTGTTTGATAAGTGATTTGAAATGGTTTGTTGCGATTGAAAATTATGAGATCGGCTTCATCGGCTGAATGTACTTTGCTATCAAGGGCTTTACATCGAAACTTGAAATAATTTAAACGCTTTTAATTTAAACGATCAAAATAATATACGCTGATGAACTAAATAGGAAGGGCAAGATAACGTATTTGAGGGCGAGTTTTAAAAATATGAAACACTGGTTGGGTAGAGGTTTAAATGTGAGGGTGTTTGAGGCAAAAAATATTTCCCATAAAATACCTGTGCCTTAGATAGGAATTACTCGCAAGACTAGGTACTAGAAATGGGTGATTTGGGGATGGAGGCACGGCCCTATGCCCCCCTCCCTCCCCCAGATCCACTAGTGCACATAATAATACAACAGGATTGCA